CGGAAGGATCATTTTGGTACCCAAAATGAAAGTTTGAGGATAATTTTGGTACTTTTTAAAGTTGAGGGACAATTTTAGTACCAAAATGCAAAGTTGAGGGACTAAAATGGTACTTAAACCATAAAAAAATTTTGAATTCAAATTAAATAATATACAAATAAAATGAATTACAAAAACGAAAAAAAATTAATTAAAATATGTACTTAACCCATCATTTTATTAAATTTAAAGTTGTTAATCTTCTATCTTATATTATAAAGTTTTTAACTTTGAACTTAAAGGGCTTTAATCCCTAAACTAAGGATTTCGTTAACTTTCCATTAAAATAGATTAAAATATTTATAGGATCAATTTTTAAGAATTAAAAGTAAAATAATTTAATTTTAAAAGATTAAAAATTTTAAAAATTAATAAATTAAAAATAATTAATAATTGACTTTACTATATATTCAACAATATTAGATATTTACAATTAAATTAAGTAATTAGTTCAACCTAAAAAAAAGTTAAGTGAGATTAAAGAAAAATTTTGGATTGTATACTTTTAGTCTCTTAAACTTTTTGTCTTAATTCAGTTAAGAAAATTTTTATAATACCAATCAAAATTCTTTTTTCAAATTAAATTAATTGCTTGATTTGATTATAAATATATAATACTAAAAATGAAAAAGTCATCCATTAATTCTTTTTAATTTACTAATTTTTTTAATTTTTAAATTTGTGAAACTAAATTATTATATTTTTAATTTTTAAAAATTAATTATGTAAATATTTTATTCTCATTTTAATGAAAAGTTAATAAATTTTATTAAGTTAGAGCTAAAATTTTCAAAATTTTAAGTTAAGAGGTAAAAATTTTAAATTTAATAAGACAACAAAATTAAATACATACTTTAATAAAAAAAATTCTCTCTCTACAACCAAAATAAAAAAGAAATAAAAAATAAAAATAAAAACCTCACTTGCACCTGAAATACGGTATTCCGTCAGTATTTTACCACGTCAACGCGCTTTTGCCATGATGGTGGAATTACCTAGCAGCAGCAACCACTAATGGAGAAGAATACAAAATATTTATATATATTAATACTTTGGACTCACAATACAAAATTTTATTTACATAAAATTTTAATAATTTATTTTTTTTATCATAACTAATTAAAATTTATTATTATTTTTTAAATAAAAACAATCACATTTAAAAGATAAGATAAAAGGAAATAATTCTCAATAATTTACTGTAAAATAAATTGATAAAGAATTGATATTTTGT